ATGGGAGGAAAAGAAAGCATTAGCAACACCTCTGTATTCCTTTCAATGGTGCCAAGGGCATAGAAAGGTTCTTTTATGTTCTTTGGAGTCATTATATAGATTTTATGGTCAGTTAGTCCAATCGTTGACTTTTTTTTACACAATCCCTTGTGGTGCCTTCTCTCTTTTTTTGTCTCTCTCACGCTGTCTGTTATTTGTCTTTTCCCTCCTTAATTTCTTATTACCAGTAACTTACAATGAGCGTGGCTTCTCCGATTATCATTCCAAGCAACCTCAAGGAGTTCAAAGGTTGAAGCTATAATGCCTGAAAACAAGACCTAAAAATAGGAGTAAAAAAAAGACCAGTTTGTTTCTCGTAAGTCAGCTCGAGTAGAGGCAGAAACGTAGGAGAGTGATGATTCAGTTAGCAGAGGTTATCTCAGGTTACTCTCGTAGAGATGTGATGGTAAACGGTGAGTGACCTCTCTGGAGACTAAAAGGAGTGCAGATCACGACCCTCTTTAGCACAGAGGATGTGCATAATGCGAGCGAGAGACAGAGGAAGTGGAAATATGTAAGATCCGTCCTGTCAATGCATTAAGGCTCCTGAAAAGGGACACAGGCTGTCTCTCCTATGTACTGTACAGAACGCAGAGTGGTACTCAGTGCCGTTGCCATGGAAATGCTGAACAAGTGATGGATTATTGGAAAGGGACAGAAAAAGATTTACAGTTTTTTTTATTTGGACAACCCTTTTTTCCATCTTTTACAGAGGGCAGAGGAACAAACTGAGACTCACAGACGTATCAGAAACAATTTATCTGCAACTCTTAACTAACACTTTACTGCAGCCTGATTGGTGTGAAGGGTAGAGATATCACAATAAAGCTTCCGTTTATGTTGTGAGTGTGTGTGTGTGTGCACATTTTGTACAAAAGGCTAAAGAGCTCCGATTCATTTTGTGCTGTGCGAACATGTAACACAGCAGCAGTAGCATGACTAATGTTGCTCAGTCCCCTACGCCCACACACGAGCACCGACACACACGCACGAAAAAATTTAGCTGCTTCCTCCTTTTGACTCTTTCTCTCCATTACTCTCCCACTCACATGGGAATGCCATGTACAGCAGGGCACACACACACACACACACACACTCAGCTATATATACTTTAATTAATTTATAGCTTGTGGTCGACATCATATCCTGTGTTTACTGTCGCTGTTTATCTCATTGAGCTCTCTCACTGAGGTAAACAGTCTATATTTGTGCATGCATGCCCACATGTGTGTATATGTGTCATTGTTCTGTAGATGTTTGGAGGTCAGTGTGTGAAGGGGACATTTTAGCAGTATATTTCCCAGAGGTCCTTGCAAGGCTCGACTCAATATAGAGCTGCTGCAAGTGACCCGTGTCAGCGGTTTGTACGGAAGTAGAGTGTGTACGTTGGTGTGTGCATTGTTTTAAATATAATGACCATATGAGGGAGATTACAGGCCATCTGTGTGTGTGCGTTTGTAAATGTGTGTGTGTGTGTGTGTGTGTGTGTGTGAGAGAGAGAGAGGCTGTGTATCCTGTCTGTTTCACCGTTAGCATTCTCCAGCTTTGACGGACAGAAAGGGAAAGAAATGCTTCTTTCTTGTGGCCAAATTCTGCTCCCTGTGTGTGTGCATGTAAGTGTGTGTGTGTGTGTGAGGAGATCTTTTCACATGAATTGTTGAGATAGAGCGGGATACGTTTCCCCCCTTCACTGGTAAAGTGCTTTCAGCACTGTACTATTAAGGGCTATTGTTAGAGTTACCCATGACCTGGTCATGACATGAGACTCTGTGTGTGTGCGTGTGTGTGTGCGTGTGTGTGTTTGGCTGTGTGTATGGGCTGTTTCTAAGTGTCTCTGTGCCATTCTTCAGGCTCTATCCATTAATAAGGGAGTGCTCAGCCATGGAGTTCACCTTTCCCCCTATAATTGCTCTCCCTCTTTCTCACCCACACACACTCATACTCAAGCAACCCTGAGACACATTTTCAGTCACAGATGTGAAGTTAGATGTTCCTAAAAGCGGAGCCTTAAGTTAGTTGTTGAACCCTTTAGAAGTATGATAATGAAGCAACAGTAGGCAGTGATGGAAGTATTCAACATTTACTTAAAATCACAGCTCTTAAGAGTTTCATCCTGTCTAAGGGCATAGAATTAGGGAAGGTAGGGACATGTCACCATAAATATCCAGCGACCACTCATCCCTAGCAATAACCCTGTTGTCTGTCAGTGAGCAGTCTGTCTATGTATTTGTTCTCTACTCCCTAACCCAGTCTCACATATAGGGTTGGCCTTGTTGTTTCTTGCTAAGGTGTGAAAGACTATAGCTACATCTGTCTCCGTCAACTAGACGTGCATCCTCTGACCTGTAGCCCTGCTGTGTGTGCTTCTCACTAAAAAGCTGAGGGCAGCGGCTGTGAGCTGCACTTGATCGGAGGTGGTGAAGTTAACATTTGTGCGGACAAAAGTTTTTTTTATGTTTTTGTTTTTTTTTAGTTAGTTAGTTTCAGTTTTCCACCTCTGCTCTGATGAAGAGCAGCGCACAGCCGCTTGAACTTTGATTCATCCAGAAATGGTCCCAAACGGGGTTCTGTTTCTGTCAGATCATCTGACTGTTGTAATGCACGGCAGACTATATGCATCAAGGAAATATCATGACATTATTCTCATTAAACCATGAGTGTTTTCTTGTACTTATTAATCGACATTTCTTCCTTAAAGTGGTGAATTAAAAATCACCAGACAACAGGAAATGAAGTGTTTGAAGCTCAAAATTTCTTTAGGGGAGGACCCTCAGTATCTTTGCCAGCATAAAGGATGCATGGAAGTATGAGCGCAGTGATGTTTACAACATTAGAAACGGATGTATCTATTTTCTTACATAAAGGGAGCATAAATTAGCCTTAAGTTGTGCTTGCAGAGTTCGACTTGGCTGCACTGATTCAAATTGTGCACCTAAGCAATTAAAAGGAAAGAATCATGCATGTTGTGAAATGGAAAGTGCAGTATTTTCCTGTGAAATGTAGTGTAATGGAAGTATAGATTTAAGTACAGTACTTGAGTAAGGTTGTCTTTTTGTGGAAGTGGATTAGTCGTACATGGTTCATGGGAGCGGATGTTAGCTGCTATTGATGTTGGTGACTTCACCGTGGAGATGTGTGAGACAGACAATTGTGTTTCTGTCTGTGAAATGTGTGCAATGTGTGTGTCAGGATAATAATAACAATATAAATTGGTCTGTAATGTACCATCATTGACCAGGAATTTGGTTTTGGAGACACTGGTGCAGACGTATTGATTACCGCCATAGCAACACAAGTACATACAGGCACAACAGGACCTCACAGTCAGCGCAGTCACTGATGTGTGTAGTGATGTGCGTGTGTGTGTGTGTGTGTGTGTGTGTGTGAGAGAGAGTGAGAGAGCAGTGTTTTATTGCTGTGGACTCCTCACTTTTCAAAGGGTGGGAGAGTGAGAAGGATCATGGGTGGGCCCCAAAGAGACCCTTTAGAGATGGAGACGCCACTTCAGAAAACACTCAGCCTTCACAAAATGCAGGGAGGAGAGGACGGAGAGAGGGGAGAGTCGATAGAGGGTGAAGGGCAAGGCTGGATATCAGATTTTCCATGGAGTTAGATGATCATTAGTGTTTGTGTGTCTGTGTGTGTGCGTAGCAGTGCTGGTGTTTGATTTGACCATTTGCCAGCTCGAGTCCGGGTGTTATTCCCTCAGCTTCAACAGCTACATGCTGAAATACTTCCTGGTTTTAGGTCAGGTATTTCCCAGTAGTGCTTAAAAGATTGTTTACCAACATTAGCTTTGAATGGAGACACTCTTTACAGTATATATAAATATATATCAAATACAGCTATGTACTCTGCTTTTTACTGGATGTGTTTACCTGAGTCGTAGAGTTGTATCTTCCTCCTCTGTAACTCCCCCCCACCTCTCTCTTTGCGCTCTGCTTCGCTCAGTCACACACACACTTCATACCTATTTTCACATCAGTCTCTGCAGGGCTGTCAGCCATTAATTGTGTCCCAGACTGGGACCAGAGAGAAAGTGTGGCTGGGAGTGCTGGGTGTATGCAGGAGAGAGGCAGGCAAGGCTGGGCACAGCTCTCTCCAGAGGAGGAAGTCGCTCTCTCATATCGCTGCCCACATCCATCCTCGGAATAATCGTCTAAATTCACCACTGAGTTTTCGCCTGTCCCTGAAGATGTTAGTCATTAGAAGAAAATAGGTTCTTTCCTTGAGATTTACCTCAGGACAGCACAATCAGTACACGCATTATTAAGGAGCAACAGTGAGGCATTTCCTTCTTCCTGAAAACCTTTCTTCTTTGCTCAATTTTTTGTCTCTGTCATCGCCGCAATCAGGGATTTCATCGCAGTCTCACAACCTACAAAGACTAAATGTTCTAAAAGATGGCTTTTTTTGGCAGCCTGCGTGCCTGAGCACGGCTGCTCTCTTTGTTTCCTCACAATAGGACGATATCAAAAAAGACAACTTCATTGCTTTGCTTCACCTCTCTCTCTGCCCTTGATTCGAATCCTAACACTTTCCCTTCATCTGTCCTCTTTTGCCTATTTTGTAATATTTCCCAGTTGTACAAGATTCGCTTGGTTTACCATATTTATTTAATCACCATTTCCGCTCTCTTTTATTATGCTGCTGTTTCCGCCGTTTGAAGGGCTGCATTAATTGCCTGTCTCATATTGATGTGCTTTTTTTTCATCAACCTTTTCCCAGCACTGAAGAGAAAATAAATGAAACTTTTAGAAAATAAACATAAATATGTTTGAGATCAGACTCGTAGCATGCAATATGTTAATCATTTTTCTACTTTGGTGGTTTGAAATTGCTGGTGTAAGGAGAGCATGTGACTTTTTTTTGCTCATAATATCCACTAATAAGTTTCAGTGTATATTATGAGCTTGTATAAGTCAGCACTATTAATCTCATGAATTGCTTTGTCTTCTCAGGTGACGTCGGAGCAGCTGGTGATGCTTTTGGAGCTTCTACTCGAGGAAGAGGAGCTAAGCATGGCAACCATGGGTGCTCTGAAGAGAACCTACAGCCTACAAGATAGAGACGCTGAAGTAAGAGCACACACACAAATATTCACCTCCACACTCACACACACACACGCTCAGACAAGTGAGCATATGCATCCGAGCACCATAATCTCCTCCAATAATGAAATGTAGACCGTTTCCTCTCCCTTTTCCATCCCAAGGCACAGCGCTTAGTAATGTGTAGTAAATTCTGCTGTAATAGCAGCTCTCTTCTTTACAGCCACCATTACTGACTAAATCCCACAAGTATTCGCTTCATGTTTTAGTACTGCACAAAGTTCCTTAATGGTACTATTAACGATGTTTGTGAGTATGTGTGTAGTTCTCGTCTCGTGTTCGTGCTCCGCAGCTGTGTGTGTGTTTGCAGCTGAGGAGTTCTCTCCTGCGCGGCACCGCCTCTCAGTACAGGAGCACGAGTGTGAAAACACAGCTGCGTCCACGTCCAACTGTCCACGCTAATCTCCGTCGTTAACACACGGCTTGTCTTGAAAAGAAAAAATTTGATACATGTTTAGTTTTAAGTCCTTATTAATAATATGAGCTGTTTGGTTGGGGCAGCAATGTATATAATGGAGCTCGGATGTTTTGTTGTATTGAATCCAGACATCTGAAGTTTCATCTCAGGACATTTTTATTGTTTACATTCCTAACTCGCAGTCAGGCCACTTGTTCAAGTTCTCACAAACAGCTGTCTCTTCTTTAAAATCTTGAATGCATTTAACTCGGACGTTCATTTCAGTGACTTTACTCACTACTTGATGTCACTGTCTTGCAGTTAATTTGAGTAATTAACCTCGCGGTCAACAAACTGAGGCCACTTTGCGTTTGGCCTCGGGTCCAGCTTTAGGTTCAGGCCACTTTAGTCAGACTTCCTGGCAGATGAAAGCAGATTCTCGTCTGCAGTTTCCCGGAAAAAACTTTCAGTGTTCGCTAAAAATACACAGGGCCATTATGCACATAGTCGTGCATGGAAACACACACTCTTTCTCTCATATGCAAATGTACGCACTCCTGCACGCACCTGTCTAAAGGCAATGGTCCCATCCTAATGTTAGTAATCTCATTCAGAAGAGGTTAATCACCAACGTCTCTCCTTATAAATGTGGCCATTTATTTTCCTCTCTTCCTCTTTCTCTCCATCTCTGGCTCTCTGTCTGATTGTATTCATTTTATCACTCAGCTTTTCTTTGTCTGGTACTGCATCCTTTTCAGATGAATGATCTGTTTAAAAATTCTTGGACAAACACAACACTGAGTGCAGTTCAGCCCCTCGCTGTTTACTTCCATGGAGAATGAGAGCTTTTCAGAGTGGCTGAATATTGGATTATCGGAGTGATTCTCATGGCTTCTGAAGAGCGGTTAGTAATGTGCCGACTCAGAATGCATTATGATAAAACATGACATAGATTGTTCGCCCTATAATAGAAGTGTATTATCACTGCTTAGAGTAAAAAGAAATCTCATTTGGTGATGATTTCATGCCACGTTACTGAAGGACTTTCCTGATTTACTATTTAATCAACTTTATTAATCCATTTTATAAGGTGTTTTCTCATTACTGCAACTTAGAAGCACAATATGCTGTTACATATTGTTTCACCACCTGTTAGTTGCTGAACATGTCTCACTCTAAGCTACTGGTTCCCAACCTGGGGATCCCGACCCTCCTGGGGGTCACCAAAGCTTCACTGGGGGTCACAAGGCCTTCTTGATTTAAAGGGGTTTTGAGAAAACTTTTAAAAAGCCTATATCATCATCATTTCATTCATTTCTGTGAAGAAGACTAAACGACATTGGTATTTTAAAGTTTAGATTATTATTCAAAATATACACTTTTTACAAAATCTCACAGGATAATGGCACAGTGAAGATGTGAACACAAACTATATTCATAGAGCCTTTGCTCTCTGCCAAACAGTAAAAGTACACAGTTAAAACAGCCAATAAAGCCCCGGTAGCAGTACGGTACGGTTCAGTTCAGTTCGGTACATCTTTTCTTTTAGTTTCCACTGTGAAAAGTTGTGGATGGTACCAGTGGAACCATTCCATACAGTCCCCATTTTTGGTCCCCCCTCTGTTGGGGTACCTAGCACACAGATCTGGTACTAAAAGGTGGAGATGTGAACACTGCAGTCTGTTGATTGGTCAATAGAGGACGGTCACTCTGCTCAGGGCTGAGTTGTGGCTGGTTTTGAGGCTCATGTAACCACTGTTCATACCGTGGAGAGTTTTATTAGTAGACTCCTGAAAATGTCAGTGTACAGCCTCATTCTGTGGACAATAAAAGAGGTGCAGACTTCCATCTGTGTCACCGGTAATGAGGAAATACAGTGAATGCTGGATGGAGCAGTGACATTTAAGAGGACTGTTTGCAGTGGAAACACTTGGGTCCAGGTACCATGTCTGAAGGGTTACTTTTGCTTCCAAAGGTACCATACTGAAAGTGTTTGGTGGAAACAGGGCTTAATAGAACAATGGCCAAGCATCAGGGAGAGGAAACACTAAATTTGCCAGTACTAATATTCACAGGAAATAATCTGCTCAAAATTCATCCAAATTCCTCCATTTACACAAACTTCCTACAGCTGTTGTTTTCACTTTTTGGGTTAATTGTTCAGTTTATTAGTTGTTCTGTACTGTTACTGTTATGCTTTAAATATAATATCCATATTACTCAATGATAAAAAAGGGAAAAGGTCAGGAACCACTGCTCTAAGCAGTAGGGAGAAGTTCATAGTGATACACTGTGTGGTTAATGCGATAAAGAAGCTTGTCTTTTGGTTAAAGGTGCCGTGAAGACTGGCGTGCAAGCTAAAGATCCTGTGTGTGAGATTCTGTGAGCATGTACACAATAGCGAAAGGAAATACGTGGCTGACGACCTGTGTGCGTGCAGTGTGGGACTGCTTTGTGAATGGTGTGAGTGACCATGAATACGTGCGTGAGTGCGCCTGTGAGTCAGAGCATGTGTTTGCATGTATGAGAGAGAGTGCATGACTTTTCCCCATTCCTTTCATATGAGTCTCATGTGACGCGAGATGCTGTGTGACTCCATGTCTGCGTGCGCACGTATGTGTGTAGCTTCCTGTGCGCATTTCTGATTCTGTGAGAGCGCACATGCATGCTTTTGTGTGTCGAAGGCCATCTGTCGGTCAAGCACACAGGACACATTGTCTGTTCGTGCCCAGGTTAGGCTTGCTCCTCCAGTGACTGGAGACTTCACTGGACCACATCAAGTCTGCCTCCACAATGTGCAGCAGAGAATAGGAGACAAGAGTTATTAAGAATAAACCAAGGAGTGTCTAGGAAAAAAACTAAATAAAGTCAAGTTAAGTTTATTTGTATAGCCTTTCATCACAATGACTGTCTCAATGGGCTTCACTGACTGGAAACAAAAACAGCTCCTCAAGTGAACAAGAAAAACTTCCCCCCAAAAAAAGCTCTAATGGGGAAAATTGGGAACGATCACAGAGGAGGAAATCCCCTCGCAGACCTAGTAGGTGCCACTGGGTGAGTGAGTAGATAGGAAAACAGCAATGGCAGCTATAATTATAGTGTCATGGAGCACAGATTTATGTCTTTTTTTTTCTTTTAATACTTTCATGTTTTAGTTTTATGAATATAGAACATGAGAAGACTGTGATAGTACAGCACAGTCAGTGAAAACAAGAGAGGGAGGAGGCACAGATGCAGTTCTTAATGCTTATAAAAGGGTTCAGAGGAAAAGGAAAAAATGTAAAAAGGTTAAATGATTATGACATTCCCATTTTCCCCAGTATTTAACCCCCTTCTTCTTCACTTTCTCCATTGAGCTGATAGACTTGATTATGTTGCTATGAGGGTCAATAGAGGGAGGGTTCCTCCGGAGCCCCTATTTTGTAATAGTTTATTTACTTGCGGCCATAAAAATCTTCAAATGATATGTGTAACTTTTACTGAGGCCTTTAGGAATATTTCCAAGGTACAAAAATGTAAAAGAGAAATGAGATTTCAGGCCCAGAGTCTCTGAGACCAGATGGTCCACACCTTTCCAAAAAGGCTTCACATACTGACAGAACCAAACAATATGTGTATGGTCCACTGAGACTGATTCACACTCCCTCCAGCAGGTGTGCTGAAACCCACTTAATTTGGATTTCTAGGTGGGGTGATAAGATATGGAGTTGATAGTGTAGACAAAACAGTTTATAAATCAATTAGTTGATTGACAGAAAATGAATTGTCAAATATTTTGACAATGGGGGAAAAAGACAAAGTTTTTTGCTGAAGTAACTATGAAAATGGAAAGTGATTCGCCAACAATAATACCACTTGGAAATGTTAGTTTAGGGTTAAAAAGTTGTCCATTTCCACTGTAAAGGCATACTTTGCAAATTTTCAACCAGGTCTGTGTCACTGTGGTGTGAGGAGTGTGTGCAGATGAACGCTGTTTGGCTTACTTCCATGTCAGCAACACCAGGACCTCCCTGCTCGTGCCGTGTGCAAATATCTGCAGGATAACAAAAAAAAGCACCATTTCGCATCATTTCTTTTTGTCATCCGGCAGATTTTGGTCGGCAGCTCTGGGACGTTGCTTGAAAATTGGCAAAGTGTGCCTATAAGTAATTTTATGAGCAAACATTTCCTTGTGCCAGCTTGTCAATTGTGAGATTTTGCTGCTTTTATTGTCTTATGTGATAGTAAATTGAATGTCTTTGGACAGAAGAAGCAATTTGCAGATATCACCTTAGGTTGTAGGAAATTATGATTGATCATTGTTCACTACTTGTTGACATTTACGAAATGAATCGCAAAAACACAAATGGCAAACCAGTAATGAAAATAATTGTTAGCTGCTTGAAGCCCTTGTTGAAGGAAAATTGAGGTTTATGAAATATAAAGTTGTCAGACAGCTTTTTCATTATATAATGTTTGCAGTCTATTTCCTCTCCTCAGCCTCAAAGTCAGTATACGAGGCTGTGTTTTGGCGTCCATGCTGCTGTACAGTTTGTGGACAAGTTAAGACCACCGTAACACTGCATTAGCATCGTCACTTCACACATGCTTTGCGTGTCTGTCTTGTCTGCTAGATTCTTTGTTTGTCACGCTAAATGCAAGCACACGCGGACTACGTTAAGAGTATGTGCTGGAATCGGTAGTGGTGGAGGGTGAAGGAGGGGTGCTGTAATAAATGAAGGAATGTCACCGTGTTATTGCATGTGCTGTCAGAGAGAGAGAGGCCCAGCAAGAGGAAACCGAGTAAAAGAGGGGGTAAGGAGAGGTGCACCAGGCAGCTGCTCTGCCCCAGGGCTCTCCCCAGGAATGTAACCCAGCACAGGGAACAGCTGCTGGGGCTACGCAGGCCAGAAGGGCAGGGCTGGCACCAGAGGGTACACATACTGTACACACTTGTGCACACTCCCACATTCATGAATACAGACACACACATAGGCTTGTTTGTTCCCATGTGAGCGCGTTACACTCAACTCTTACCCCTTGCTTTGTGTCATGTCTGATGTGGGATTTCTGAGAGTAAACAGAGGCAGAGAATATATGGAAAAAGTAGGATTTTTAATGTGGACGAAAGAGGAACTAGAAAGCCCTTCTGAGACCAATTAAACTCATGTTTATGTAGTAGCTTGTGGAGGTAATGTGAGGATTTAAATGTGGCTGTTCTAAATGGAGCAGTGCTCAGTCTCCATTCTTTTTGCTGCATAAACAGGTTGAGGGCAGCGCTACGTTTCTGGCACAAACAGACGAAGCAAAAAACTCCAATTAAGAGTGTGAACACCGTCACACAGCACTCAGGTAGATCCATTTGGCTCCTTTTCTAGCCTGCTACCTTAAAATGAATATCTGTACAAGCGCTGTAGAAATGCCCAAAGCTTGAGCTGTTGAAATAGAATCAATCACCCACGCTTGGTCACTGTACTCTCCAAAGGACTAGTTTATTATCCTGAGTGTGTGGAGATAGTTATGAAGGAGATTGAAATACCCATGAAAAACCCAGCCAAGGGAAACTGTCAGGCTGTAAAGAAGTGACAGTGCTTTAAAAGATTTTTCATCTGGATTTTTTATCGCTCTTCAGCCTCTTTTATCATCCTCTGTGTCTCCTCCACAAGAGTGTGTCCGTATACACGTGCATTACGTATCCACGCACGCACACACACACACGCGCATGCACGCTCATAGCAGATGATGAAGGATGATGGCTGACGCAGGGACAGAGCCAGTCTCTGATCTCTCCTGTAACCGCGGCAACAGAGCTCCTATTGATCCTCTGGGAGAAAGGCCAGGCATTAGCTTTCACACACACAAACACACACATGCAGTAAAAACACACCTGTACACACACACGCACACACACCTTGAACACACACATGCACATTGTCAGAGAATTAAATAGAACTTTAAAACATGAACTTTAGATGGAGATGTTCTCCTCTCTAAAACAAAGTTCACGTCTCTCAATCCTCCGATTCTGGATGAATCTATTCATTGTCAGCCGAGCAGCTTCCAGCTTTGTCTCGCAGCTCGTCAGATGAGCCGTTTGTCTTTTGTTACTGGCATCCAGGGAGACCTGTTCACGTTACTGTGTGAGTGCACTGGCCGAAACCATAAAAATAAAATAAACAGACCACAGATCTTTGCCATCGACACCATTCTGCTTTATTAATGTTTTTATGAGTATTATAAATTATATTCAAGACTAGTTTATCCCTCTAGCTTTATATTGTCTGTACCAAGAGTATATATAAGTTGGTAAAGCTTTTATGTGGTCAGCTTTGAAGGAACAACACACTGAAATTACAAACACCAGTGACCTTATATAACCTCAGACATAACATCACAGGCATTTTAAAGATGGAAATGGGCAAAAGCAATGATACAATAATGTACAACTTTGAAGGGAGCAATGGTGGGATTTTTAATCTCTTTTAATGTTTAATTCTGTAATCTTCTTTTCTATGATTTCTTGGTTCTGTGTTGGTCCGTGTTGACAAAATTGCGCTGCCATTTTTGCCACAAGTGAAAAAAGGCAGTGACAAGGTGCCAGACCGTTAGCAGCATGCACCCCTGGAGACACTGCTTACAAACAGAAGCTAACAATTCCTGCATTGTATAACTTTAAAAAGGAGATTCTCTATCTCAAGGTCGCATGTAAAATAATTAAATTAATATGTGTGTTTTTGATTCCATTAATAGGTTTTGTATCTTCTCCTCTGTTTTGGCTTCCAGGTTCGACATCGCTGGTGCGAGCTGGTGGTCAAACACGCGTACACTCGGGCTTACACAGACGTGGGGCACTTTCTGGTTCATGACCAGGTAACCAAACACAACTGTTCAATATTTGTTTTGTATGATACAATGAGCCACTTTTAAAACACTTATTCAACCATAGAGAAAAGCCTTTACACAGTAAGAAAAATAAACCAAGTGATTGTGTGTGTATGTTCCAGGCAATGGGTGTGTATCTATATGGGGAGCTGATGGTTAAAGAGGACGCTGAGCAGCAGGCTCTCGCCCGTCGCTGCCTCTCATTGGTCCAGGAGGAAATGGACCAGTCGGCACGCAGAGTGGTGGAGGAGATGGTCCTATGATGTTGGAGGTATAGTCTCATTCTCAGTGCTTTATTCCCGTTGTGTTGGGTAGTTGCACATGCTGCCTATCACGCCATTTCCTTTCAGTTAAAATGAGATACAGTAATCTAATTGTCATCATCTTTTGCACATTTATTTCTTTTAACATCCCTGCAAATTAGTGGAATACAAGTGTCATTATAATTTACATCTCATTTACTTCCCCTTCACTCAAAAATATGGTTTTCTTATGTTTTATGTCCCCTAAAATGTCTAACCTTGACTATACTGAGTTGTATCTGTGCAAAGTTTGTCACTAGAGGGGCTTTCTCATTCCTTTACTGAAGGGACTGATGTCTTCTCACTTCCCCAAAATCTGAGATTCAACCCGTGCAACCCTGTGCGTCACAAATTTAAAAGCTGATTGCTGTCTAATGTGCAAATGTCACAAAGACACCTGGAGCCTCCAGTGCAGGGCAGACTTATTGCAAGTAATATAAAAATCCCAGTGAGATAAAATATATCTCTCTGCAAACTTTGAATAGACCTCTGATCTGACTCTGAATAGACCCTTATGCAGCATCAGCCACTGCTAGTTACAAGCTAACAAACGGTGTGAACAAATTAAGAGATGCTAACTACACTTACTATTCCGATATGTCTGCTAGTCGCTTATTTTGGTGCACAACAGACTCCACATCTGAGTCTGGGTCTGACTAAGATTCAAACATGAATCTGAATCTCTCCCATGTTTCCTCTCATGCTAACACTAGCCATCTCAATGCACACTGCTCTTTCACCGATCAACTTAGCACAAGCAGCAGCAGTGGTGGACGAGGTGGAGGTCAGATCTAGAATTTCTCACTGAGGGAGAAAGAGCTGATCTGCTTCCAGCCCCTTATCACCTTTTATGTGGGAAAACCCTGTAAAAAAAATATTAATCATAGCAGAATATTGTTACACACTTTAAAATGTGTCTGAAGGGGAAGTTCAAGTGTTTCCACACATTAAAGACAATATTTCTATTTCATATCTGACCTTAGAGTCTGAGGTGGTGACAGAGAAAAGAAAGCTTTGTGTTGGACTGATCCTGATTCCATCTGCCCCAGCGGACAGTCCGCACTTGAGTCACTTGGCTACCTATACTTCACATTCCTCTCTGATCCCATTGAGTGTGTGTGTGTGTGTGTGTGTGTGTGTGTGTGTGTGTGTGTGTGTGTGTGTCTGTGTCTGTGTCTGTGTGTTTGTAGACTCAGAATGGGGCCTTTTCCGTGGTTTCACAGCAGCGCCATCAGGATGTGTTTGTCAGAGAAGGAATTTGGGAATGTGTTCCTCAAACAAACGAGAGAGGGAAGAAAGAAAAAGAGAGAGGACGGGTCAGCGAGCGTTTTTTGAGGGGCTCAGGGCGCTCTGTACTCGATGTGGGGTGATTTTTATTCCGTTGACCCTGGAATTCCTCCCGTGTGTGTGTGTGTGTGTGTGCGCGCGCTACAACTGTCACCCATTGAGCTTTCTGAAGATTCAGAACAGTGAGGGGTTTATTAGTCTCACACTAAATGAAGGGAAGAGAGAAATGTATGGTTTCGACAGACAGAGGAAAAAAGGGGAGCAAAAAAAGCGGAAGGGAGAACTGGAGTGAAGACAGGTCTCTTTGAAGCTACTGATCTTTTCATAACAGTCTGGCTATTACTGACACTAACCTTTGAATAATGAGAGCAGGCAATTAAAAGGATCTTGGCTCAACAATTGAACTGTAGTAACCCAGCTCTTCTTCAAAGCTTTTAAACAATATGGATAAATGCTATGTGTATACACCAAAGGCAAAAACAAAACCCAAAGTATTAAATTTATAATGATGTAAAACAGAGAAAAGCAGCAAATCCTCACATTTGAGAGGCTGAAGCTAGCAACAGTTTTTTTAACGTAAACGATCATTCAATTGTCAAAGTGCTTGTCAGGTAATGTTCTGCTGATTTTCTGATTTATCAGCTTCATCAATTAACTGACTAAGTGTTTGAACTCCAGTCATATGTGATTGACAGCAGCATGCCTGGCAACATAAGCCAACAACCCCACAACTGTCATCATCATCACACTTTGATTGGTGCAGGGAAATACATTACATCGCCTTTTCCAACTGTGCCATGCTCACTGGGCAGCTGTGGCCCAAAGGTAGAGCGGGTCATCCACTAATCGGGAGACCGGCTTCTCCAGTCCACATGTCAAAGTATCCGTGGGCAAGATACTGAACCCAAAATTGCTCCTGATGGCTGTTCCATTGGTGTGTGAGAGCGTGTAAATGGTCACTGCGTAGCAGGTGGCACCATGTACGGTAGCCTCAGCCACCAATGTGTGAGTGTGTGTGTGTGAATGGGTGAATGACATGTAGTGTAAAAAGCACTTTGAGTGGTCAGAAGACTAGAAAGGTGCTATACAAGTGCAGTCCTTTTACCATTTACTCACTTTGAATCACTGTCAACAGAGCAGATGAAACATAAATCCAGAAATCTCAAATGTAAAATAACCAGAATTGTTATAACTATAAATGTTTGGCAGAAATTGTGTGTTCATATAGAACCCATCAGAAACAAGCTCATTGAGAAAGTAGATTTTAATTTAGCCAACTGTGTCATACTTTACATGTATTTAAAGATAGATGTTGGCAGTTTGCATAACAGTTTATCAAAAGTAAGGATGCTATAACTTTTCACCGGTGTGTGAGTCTCCCCTATTAAAGGGAAACTCTTTGTGTGTGTGTTGAAATGTGTAATCAGAATAAGCATTTTTGAAATTGGTCCAGTATTGAGAGACCGCTGCAGTCGCAGTGACGAAACAGGCTGCAACGTAATCCCTGCAGGCAATTGTGCACCATCTATTTACATCCATTAAAAGTTCTTGTTTTGCCACTGGCAGCCTCAGATTGCTTTAAGAAATGTCTGACAACATTACAGAAAAGACCCTACAGAGATATTAAACACTTTTCTTAACCTTTTGCTGGTCTGTTTGTTATTGTGACCAAGTCTCACTCAAGGAAAGTCTTGTTGTGAAATCCCGCAGACTGTTGAAATCAGCAAAATATTAAGCAATGCCACTGAAAATGCTATGCTTTCTGCACTCTAACATAAAAAAAACTCTTCTCTCGCCAACTGTCGCTAACCTTTCCACCAATGTTTTTCCCGCAACAAGTCACCTCCTGTGATATTTCAGAGAGACTTCTCCTTTAGCAAGACTTGGTCACAATAATAAACAGATCAGGTAAAGACAAGGAAACCGTTCCGTTTCTCCGTAGGGTTCCTTCCATAATGTTGTCAGACACTTCTAAAAACAATCTGAGCCTGTCAACACTTTTAGTGGACGTAAAGTGACAATGCACAACAGGGATTACATTGCAATCTGTTTCGCTGCTGCTGCAACATTCTCTATCAATACTTGTCTCTATTAGCTTCTTAGACAAAAGCATGGCATAATAAGGTGATGGTTGAGAAATACCAGTTTCCTTTTAACAATGTAAGAAAGATGGATAAGACTAATTTTAGAGGATTTATGACAGCACTGGCACAAACTTCTACATTAGCCAGCTGTGTTACAGTCTAGCACACCTCCAGTACAACCAGCACAGGTTAAACAAGGCGACGGTGACCTTGGTCAACACAGGCTGCTAAATACTTGTCCACATCAACCTGAGTGACTTACAGCACTGAATCCTTTTTTAGGCCGTGACCAAGCCACTACAAGACAGGCTTTTATCTTCAGACACACACACACACACACACACACACACACACACACACACACACACACAGGACAGCTTTATGCATTTGCACAGGATGTGAAAGGCTTTCTAGACAAGTGCTCGGCATCTGGCTCAGTCCTGATAAATCTCTCTGACACACACACACACACACACACATACAGCGCACACATATGTAGTGCCTATCTGTCTGTGCCCGCAGATCTCTTGCCATCATCCTTCACTCTCTCACTACACCTCCCTGTGGAGCCACACTACAAGTACAGGAGGGATGACACAGAGCGGCCAAAACGCCCAAAAAAGAAAGAAGAAAAGAGGCATTTAGAGATTTATATCCCAACTTTTACTATTGCTTCCCATTGGACTGAACCACACAAGCCTCTGTAAACATCAATGGATCATGCTGGTCAACTGAGCTCAGGTCCAGATCTCACTCCAATTAAAATGATGGATGAACCAACTATCTCACTGCTTTTTCATATCGCACTGTGGGGAGATGGATTTATGTTTTACTGCTCACTTTGTGTGGCCCCACCATCTTTCCTTAAGTAGAGCAGTCCTCCCTGTACCCTTTACACCCTCACACACACACACATACAGTGTCAGACAGACCACAGTACAGTGGGATTAGGCTGAGGCGGGCTGAGAGGGTTTTAACTGAAAACAACATGTCTGTCAAGGCGCACTCCCTGCTCTGTGTTTTTAAACCTAAAAAGCACAACCCTTTTAAAAGAGAAGGGTGGTCTCCCCCTGTCCTTTTTTTTTTCTTCCTTTCCCCTCCCCGCTCACTCCCTCGTTCTTTTCTTCCCCCGGTACATGCCTCTGGAATCCCTCTTGATCCGCTTAATGAGGGGCATATCGCCGGGTTAGCCGAGCGTGGCGAATGGGAGAGGAGGAGAGGGGTAACCAAGGAAATGGTGTGTGTGTGTGTGTGAGAGTGAGGGAGAGTGAGCAAGGATCTACAGGTCTGGTCTTTCATGACTGCGCTCCGATGGCAGATGTAAGGGAGACGGAGACAGAGAAAGGTCAAACAAAGTTAGAGATTTTCATGTCTGCAGGTTAGAGTTGAGGGTGAAGTTAGAAAAAAAAATAAAAAGAAAAGACAGGGAGAAGATCTTTCATGTCTGGGCTGTGAGGGTTCCTGGCGTGCTGATTTGTGACTTATGATAAAATCACATTGCCAGGGATTACCACACAGCCCTGACCCAGCCGGCTGCCATGGCAACCCCAGCCCCTCCTATACACACACACCCACGCACACACTCATTCATCCCCCAG